TCTTAAGTCAATTGGTGAAAAACTAATTGTTAAGAAGTCTAGGAATTAAACTGAGTTTCACATGGTGTTACTACACTACCCAAGTTGGTGTACACTTACCCATGGCCTCAGAACTGGTTTCTCAGCAATGCCTCAATGCAACAGAATAGAAAGGGACAGAAAGGGACAGGCAGATACTTCTACTTTTCTGAAATTCAACTAAATTTGTCTAAAAGAGAAAAAAGTTTAAGTTTTATGGAACATTAACAGTGTCTCAATCAATTGTAGTAGTACGTAACTCATTTAGAATTTGGAAAGAAGACCCATGAGAGAAATATTCAGAGATTGACTAGAGACCTTGTACTGCCTTTGAAAACCAAATTGTCTAGAAATAAAATTCATACTGAGCCATAGACAACTCTCCATGACTGTACATCCTTAGTCAAGTTACTAAGTGGAAGAATCACTTAAATTAACTTGATTTGTTGTTGCCATTGTTCCTGAAGGTAGTGAAGAAATCAGACTTTGTGACATACATCATGGTGAGCATAACAAGCTATTTATACAGGAACATGAGGAAAGAAGGCCTGATTATCTCTAGCTTCCATGGATTCTTAGCCACACTTGAGATGGAAGTCAGATACAGGCTGGTTCTTGAGCCTGCTGACTTGATGTCACCACTGTCCACTGTCTTGTTCACTGCCCTTTAAAAGGGGAGGGTCCTTTATGAGCTTCCAAGATGCTGCTAGTAGGATGAGAGTGCTTGCTCAATTTGGATAGAAATCACAAATTTTCAGGTGCAACTCTCAGCCCTTAATTTTATAGTTTTCAGCTGCTGCTTCCTCTTCCATCTCCTCCTGCTTCTTATACCTCTTCCTCCTCTTTCTCTTTCTCCCTTCATCACCTTTCTCCTGCTTCTTCTTCCTCTTCTCTCCCTCCCTTATTTCAATCTTCCCCCTCTTCTTCTTATTCTTTTTTTTTTAAAGCAAGAAATTGGGCCTGGCTCAGCACTCAGCACCAACCTTCTGGAAATACAGTGCACACCCATAATACATTGTATATTTTTCCCTCCAATGTCTTCCCTTTGGAGTGATATCAGTTACTGGGTAGTTAATCTGCCTTATTCTGTGGGGAAAAAATAGGAAGTACTTGTGCCTTACTGTTCAACATCAACTTTATCAAATTCTGAAATTTAATGTATTGATCCAGGCTAGAAATTCTACTCCTCCTCCGCTACTGCCCAGAACAAACCTGAGGATGTGAAGAGATGACCACAACAAAGAAGTAGCAGAGTAGAAGAGAAAAAAACTAGAAAGGGCGGCAGGTCTTTGTCCTCAGCCAAAAGAAAGAACAGGCTTTGTGTCTCTGTGAACACCAAACAGCTTAAGATAGAAAACACAGACTTGGAGGTGGACACTTCCAGTGAAAGATGTGGTCAACAGCCACAGGGAGCTGGCCACAGTGGTACATGCCTGGAATCCCAGCTACTGAGGAGACTGAGGCAGGAAGATTGAAAGTCTGTACCGCCTGAGCAACTGAGCAAGATCTTGTCTTAAACAAAAATAAAAACGTCTAGGGTTATGAGTCCAATTCCCAGTGACTAAAAAAGGAAGTGAATAATACCATCTTGAAATTCTACCACCTTTCATCCAAGAAGTTTAAACGCCTTCACAGTACACTGGACAGCTTAAGTCACCACCAAAATATCATCTTCTTTCCATACAAAAAAAATTCTATCCATAAAACTTCTTTCCATCCTTGCCCAAGAGAAAAATGAAATAAGAGAAATGAAGGAAAATACTTAGTGTTCTGTGATTAGTGTTTTAAATTGAAAATTCTAATGAAATAATGAGATTTATATACACATGCATCCCCAATAAATAAATCTATAAACGCATTTTTAATTTAGGTCCCACTGGACTTTTGTCCTGATCCTGAAGCCCCCTCAACTTTCTAATGCCCTCCTTTTTACCCTTAAATTCTCTCAATTTCTTCAGTGACTCCCCGGGAAAGAATAGAAAACTAACAAATCTATATTTCCCAAGTTTCTGAAATTTTAAAATTGCCAGTAACACGCACATCTGTGAGCAACTTAAACTTCCTTCGATTTCTATTAATGTAAATATTAAGGTTAGAATTTAATGGAAAAATCACTCTCTGAAGAAAAAGAACTCATCTCATAAGAGGTGCTACTGCCACCTAGCGATCAGAGGCCGGGATTGCTGCTAAACGTCACGACATAAGGCGGC